AGTATAGGTCACTTGTTTTTGTTTATTTGATTTTGTTACTTCTTTACTAATTTTCTTTTCTATTTAGGGCAGTATTTTCATAGAAAATGGATTTGGAATAGAATGCACGTAGAGGACTGATCGTGAGGAGACGTTAACATGAAAATTTTGGGAGCTACGTATAATTTTCGGTTATTTTCATTTTGCTTCACTTATTTACTAATACTATTTTAAATTTTTAGAGTATTAAGGCATTCAACAACGGAACGTCGGACGAAACATTATTTGACGGGTCATAAAAATGAAACCATTAAAGATATTTGTATAAATTCAGGACTTTCAGAACTTAATTTTGCAAAATGGAGCCATCTTTGACTTGAGTTTCTCTATATAGATGACCTGAGGTCCTGTCATCATCGTCAAATGTAACCGAAATATTTGGTTATAGGGTAGGTTTAGGTCTTTATTGGAAGAAATTCAAGATAAAGAGACTTTTATTTAGATCATTAGGACTTGAGACAGTGGACGATGCCTTTTACAAGTCTTCTACAAGATATTTTTATAATAAATTGTTTTACTAACACTTTACTATTTAAGTTGTTAGTATATTTTTCTAAAACTATTGACATTCTCTCCTAGTTACAAACCCATTTTATGTTTAATTACTATCCTAACATCACTATGTATAATGATCTATGCATAATGATAATAACATAACGATGTTATATTATAAATAAATAAATAAATAAGTTAGTTCATCGATATCAATTGATCGTAATCATGTGATCACGTGATTGTCGCATTGTGTATAATGTTTAATAGCGAATCTAATAATTATATTACAATATATTCAAACTGGCTCTTACACATATCTAGTATACTAATCAGATTAATCAAGCTACACAGGTTATCAGGTCCATCTAAAAAAGTAAATATCCTTATATAGTAACCTTTTGTTTTGGATAATTAACAATACCAGCTGTTTTAAAAAATTATATATTGATCTTTTGGAGAGAGTAAGCTAAAACACATATTTTTTGACAAAATTTATTTGAAAAAAATAGTGAAATAATGAAAATATATAAGGTTCTTCTGTAGATTTTACAGTTGTATAGTTAAGTTTTTAAAGTTATATTATCTTAGCAAGAGCCTAACCACTACTTGCTTCTAGAATAAATCTTCTAGTTTGGATACCAAATATTCTAGAAAGTTCAATAATAACAGAAAGTTTGACCCCAAGAAAAACTACTCAAGTTATGTCTGCTTCTTAGTATTTTATATTTTTCAAGCTTTGTCGACAACAATCTATTTAAAGGTAAATTCAGTTCTCAAAATATCTTTTCTGGTTTGGATATTAAATATTTTGAGAAGTTCACCAAAGAAAAAGCTTAACTTCAAGAAAAACCACCCAAGTTATGCCTGCTTCTTGATATTTCATGTCTTTAGACTTTGTTGATAACTGCTTACTCAGAGACAAAACTAAAAATAGTATATATTTTGAACCTTTCTATAGTATTTTTCTGTAGTTTAAAATTTTTATATATTGTTCAAAGCATTGTTAGAAAAAGTTTTGTTTTTAACATGTATATTAATAAAAAATTACTTGATTATTTAAAACAAAAATCTATAAATAAATTCTATTAAAAAGAACTTAGATGTAATTTGCCTAAGTAGTTCATGTTTAGTTTATTTAGAATCTTTAATTTACTAAAGATTTAAATTTCAAAAATTTATAATATATATTTACCAACCTTGTCAGAATCACTATTTTATATAACATATCACTAATTTAAAAAAATAGAGCAAAATAAAATAAAAGAAAATATAAAAAAAGAGATATTTTAATTGGTGATTTACCAGTCACCTGATGCATGATCATAGTGTAATATGACACAGATTATTATGTAAATTATACTGTATATATCCTAAATGTAGTATTCATTTAAAAAAACTTTTTTTATGCTAAGTTAATTATTCTTGTATATAAGTGAAACTTGTAGAACTCATTAAAGCATATCTAATGGTGATAAGTTTAGCAAAAACAATCTAGTAGTTGTCAATATATTGCTAAAAAATGATTGGCTAACTATGTAAAATTTTTATATAAACAATAGTTTGTTTATATAGAATTTTATATAGTTAGCCAATCATTTTTTAGTAATATCTTGACAACTACTAGACTGTTTTTGATGATCTTACTACCATTAGATATATCTTGATGAGCTTTACAAGTTTCACTTAATGCACAAGAGCGATCAACTTAGTATAAAAAGGTTTTCTTTAGGTAAATGCTATATTTGGGATATATATGATTTACATAGTGATCTGCATCATATTATACTATGATCATATATCAGGTGACTAGCAAATCACCAATTAAATAAATAAAACTATGTTAAAGAAGAAGCCACATAAACTAAACTTTGAGCAATAAAGAAACTATTATTAAAAATGAAAAATATTACTATAAAATAATGATTTAAAAAAAAAAATAAAAAAAAGTACAAAAATTACTATTGAAAGCAAAAGATATTATTTAAAAAAAATTGGTAATTTGCTAGTCAACCAAAGAGAAGTCATAGTATAATATGATGTGATTTACATATAGAAATTAAGGTTTTGCGAATATGGGCTATATTATTCTAAAACTTTTTTGTACTAAGTTAACCATTTTTAAGTTTCTAATTGAAATTGTAGAGCTTATTGAGATGAATCTAATAGTGGTTGAATTATCAAAATTGGCTTTGTAGATCACAAGATATTTTTAAAAACATTTTGAAAATTATGTAAAATTCTTTTTCAACAATACAGTCTGGGATTTTTCCATATATGGCAATTCCAAATAAAGTAATGATCTACGTGGTACAGCGATCTAAAATTTATCGGTAAGTCTAAATTTGATTGGATAAAAAAAATATATATAGAAAGAATTTTAAAAATGTCTTATCGTTTCTAGTTCATTAACGCAATATATATTTTTTTGTTTAGTTAGAATATGAAATCGTTGTATAAGTTTAATACATAACTTTTTAAAATAGCAAATTTGAAATATATCTATTTTGTATTTTGGCCCCGAATAAGGTATATTCCAAGTGTACTATAAAATGTCTGGCTGATCCGATCTTGTAAACGTTCAAATAAGAACATACAGCTACATGGGTATCATTAAAAACCATTCTAACTAAATAACATGTGTTAAATCTTGATTTTGCATTTTGCAACAAATACTTAAGTTTATGATTTCAGATCCGTTAGACCAATCCAACTGTTCTGGAATAATTATATAAAAAAATCTACGATGGCATATTATTCAGGCAAGATATATTAAACCGGTTATATTAGATGGGTGTATATAGTATTGTCTTTGAAATTTTGTTTAATAGTTACAGACTGTATCATAAAAATTTACTACGTTAGGTCCTTATAACCTTGGATACTATTATCAACATGGAATAGGAATCAAAAAGGATGAATATAAGGCATTCATTAATTATCATAAATTTGCAGAGATGGGGATGCTAATAGAGCAAACAAAGTTGGATATTGTTATTAACAAGGAATTGGAGTTGAAAAGGATGAACAAAAGGTATTCATTTATTATCAAAATCTGCGCAAAGAAGAGCTGATATTTAAAACCTTCAGAGGTGAAACCTCTATTGCACAAAATAATTCTTGATGCAATTAAATCGTTTGGAACTAAATAATATCTGATTTTAAATCTAATAAAAATAAAAAAAATTATTGTTTATTAGCTTTGATTATTTATTATAACAATAAAAGTAGCCAAATTTTTTTATTTATTTTATAAATTCATTTGATTTTCTAGTTCTACTTCATCTTCAAGTCCATCTTGCTCATTATAAAGGTCTCTAATACTTTGTAAGATCTCTTGTAATTGGCTACGATTTTTTTGCTTTAACCTGCGATACTTTGAACTATCGAGAATATTAACTGAACTTAGCAATGAATTGATAATCGCTAGAAGCTCTTCTTTCGACATATTTGCTTCATCCATGGCGGCTGCTTCTTCTTGAGCAGTAACAGGTATTGGCCAGAGTAAGTGATTTGACTTGCTTTTTTTGAAAGTCTCATCAATAAACCTTCTTCATCTTTCACATGCTAAATCACTAAAATTTTTTAGCTATTCGCTAAGTAGGGACTCCTTTCCAAGACTTCTAAATATGCGATCATTGCTTTGAGGATTCAAAAACACAAATTTTCGTAATTGAATTCGAAATCGTTGTGACTCTAGGATGTAATCTGGACATGACTGACCTCCTGATGATTCATTATCAGTATACCCAATCATATCAAATAACATGTGACGCAACTAATTATAAATTAAAAAAATTTGCATTGTAGGTGTAAACTTTTTATTTAAATGTATAGTTTTCAAATATATTTCATTAACCTTTATAAACTTTATACAATTCCGTGCTGCTATTCTCCAATGTTTTTGTGAAGGTACGGGTGGAATCAAGGCCTTTAAAGATTTATTAACTTCTTCAAGAATAGCATCAAGGCCCTGATGTTGGTTACAATATCCTGATCGTGAAATAACCAAGAATGATTCTATACATTTTCTAATTTCAGGATTTAACCACATCAATTGCTCTTCATAAATTATCTCAATTAAGCGATATATAGGATGCCTACGACCAGACCATATCGGAGCAAACATACGTTGAGCAGTACTAATCAACAATGGCTGATTATTTCTAACCCCTGTACGAAAATTGATAATTGTCTGGAGGTAGATAAATGTCTGTAATAATCATTAGCTAAAATTTTTAAACAATATTTTATTTATTTATTTTTTTTTTATTTGAAATCTTTTCAGCTTATATTTATGATCATTTTGTTTCTTTGCCCAATCCAAATAGCCATCAGCCGAAGAATTTTCAGTTGTGACTACGTATGGCCATAATAATTCACATGTAATCGCATGTCAATAAATGTTGCAAATAGAGTCCCACGATTTGTGATGGTCGACGTATTTTTTGAAATATCTAAGTTGATTTTCAGTTCTGTATCCTTGAAGAATAGCGAATTGCTTGATATCGATTATCCTTAAAAGAATATGTTAATATAAATTAGAGTTATTTGTAATAACAAAAAGAAATAGAGATAGGTTTTATGCGTGCGCATGATTGCAGAATCATGCACATTAATGCGTATGATTCCATTACATGCGCATTTTATCCCATCATGATTTCTCTCCTCTCGATCGTTTTTTCTTTTTTTTGCCTTTTTTTTATCATGTGATATCATGCGCATGAAATATTTTGTGTGCATTCATGCGCATGTTATTATAAAATGCGCATTTTCCCATCACTAAAAATAAATACGTATCCAAAAAACAATAATACCAATTTAGTTTTACAAATGCTTTAAGCATATTTATTTCTTCGTGCAGGGCACCAGGAATTAGTATAAGCCACAGAAAGTTATTTTTAATTTTTTGAACTAGATTGTAAGGAATGTCATCGCAAGTAACCGGTAGCCATTTTCGTGCTTCTTGGTTTATCCTCGTAATACTCTGTATATACTCTAAAACCTTTTTTATATTATTTATTGAATTAGAGTTGCATTCTAATGGATCTGGCACATGCATTTCTGGAACAATAACATTATTATCTGGTTCTAAGCGTTGGGTAATACTAATACGTTCAAAATGAGAGTTTTTTTGTTCGTAAGTATATGAATGGAACTTAATTATGAGAGATTTTGACTGTGAAACTGTATTATTAAGTCGTGCAAGTTCTTTAGCAGATTTCGCTTGTAAAGTAGCTAATGTATCTAATTTTTTATGACAATTAGGGCATGTACATTTTTTATTATCAATGTTGGTTGTATTGCATTCTTTGTACCATTTCGATTGACTCCCGATGCCTTTTTGATTTCCTATACTTTGATTAATAGCATTTATTTCTTGATCTTTTTCAGCTATAAGATCTTTTAAAATCAAAGATAAGTATATTTTTAACTCTAATTCGTATTCTTTTTTCATTTCTGGTATAAGATAATATAGCTCTTCATATTCTTTATCAGTTAACAGATCATTACGCCAAGGTTCACTTACAAATTAAATTAAGTTATTTTTATTCATATTTAATGCAACAAAACTCGTAACTACATGATAAATAATCGTGTTATATCCGCGATCAAGGTAATTATGTTGACCTCGTTGTTCATTATCGAAAGCTATAAATAAAAGCCCCTTAGGTAAAGGTTTATTTTCAATTGCTAATGATTCTAACCAGCCAACAAATTTAGTATAACTTCCAGAACTAACTACATGATTATCTATATCAACGATTGTTTTAGATCGCAATAGTGAATATTTGATCCCTGAAATAGCTAGATTTATTTCCGATACGTAGCTTTTATGTTGTGACCCATATATTGCATCGATTGCAACTATTTTTTTAAAGGCTTTTTTGTTTGAAGTATGGTTACCATAGTTGTTATTGTCATTATGAGTAAGAGTATTAATAAAATTAATAATAACTGGATTACGATTAGCTAACCAGTTGTTAGGCATGAAATCTAATAAACTATTAAGTAAAAACCGTTTTTTATTAAAAATTAATGATTCGATATCATCATAAACATTTTGGCGTTCTTCATTTGCAATTTGAATTACGGATTCAATTCTTTTTCTTTGACTATCATAACAGTTTTTCCATTTATACTTCAATGCATTATTTAGTTCAATTAGTTCTTTATTTACTTTACTTATTTCTTGAACACGCCCCCAACTTTCTATTACATAGTCATATGCATATTCTAATCGGTTTTTAAGGTCTTCTACCTCAATTACTTTTGAATCTAGCTGTGATTAGAGAAAACAAACATGGGTTTCAAAAGTATGCAACATAATGTCAGCTACCTGTATACCGATCTCATGGGTTTCTGGATTAGCTTGAACACCGACTTTGTTAGTCTGTTCATTAGTTTGAACAATATTTGTTTTATGCGCATATTGTGTATGAGCTTGCTTTTCAACAATTTCATTGTCAAAATCACTACTATTTATTTGCCGCTTTTGTTTATTGCAATTATTTTTAGGAATATTTGAATTTATAAGCATTTGATGTAAAAAATCAGATGCAACAAGCTGGTTATAATGCTTTTCGCATAAAGAGAAATCTTGTAAATACGTTTGAATTTGAATTAATTTAGGGAAAAATCATTATACAATTGAAGGCAACTTTTTGGTTTTTTACTATTTGCATGTCGAATTGTTTGTGAATTTTTAATTTTACATTCTAATAAACCCAAATTTTTATATAAAGGAACTAAAGTAGCAAGAGTGCAAGGCAAATTCTTTGCATTCGGTCGTTTGTTAGCTTGGTTAGCTTGGTTGGTTTTGTCTTCTTGGTTAGCTTGGCTGGCTTCTACTAATAAAAGAGAAAAAAATTATAAGCCTAATAATATTAATTTTTGATAGCATAAAGAATAATTAAATAAATTTAACAACCCTAGTTTCGTCCACAAAAAAATGTAGCCAACATAAAAATTAAACCTCAGAATCAATATTGAAGCTTTTTTAGTGCTGACAAATTACCATTGCCATGCACAATTCATTGTTACTGGTATTGGTTTCAGAGCTCTAATTATAATGTAGGTTATATTTTTTTGTGGCGATACCAGTTCTATTAAATAAATTTATTATGCACTTATACAGTTATAGTGATAGCAAAAAAAAAACCCCCCGAATTCTAGTGGTATTTCCAAGTTAGCAAAGAACCACATAATAACTAGCGGCTTATGATAGCAGAATAGTTATAATAGTAAAGAAGTATGGGACCAGCGTTGACACAGTAAAGAACACAGTGCTTAATTGTTTTACAACGAATTTCTAACAGCTAAAAGAAAAAAAAAAAGTAAAGTTTAATGTTTTATACTTTTTAATAACCTAAGAAAACCTGTGTTTTGCTACACTTATAAACGTTAAAAGTGAGTTAATTTTGGAAAAGTTTTGACTGATTATGAAACTACTTGCTTGAAACTTCCTAGTTTCATAAAGATCTGTTATGTTACAACGACAGTTTGCATAAACTTATCATGTGAAATTTGTAAAAAACGTTCAAAATTTAGTAAGAAATTAGACAATCAAATTTCTAGATCATGTGTTGTGTAACGAATTTCATTCTAGAATGATCTACAATATGATATACCAAATTTGGAAATACCCCGACTGCAATACTATTGTTAAAAGAGAATTTTATATAGTTAGCAAAACATTTTCAAAGATATCTTGTGATTCACAAGACTGATTTTGATGATTTAACTACCATTAGATTTGTTTTAAGCTCTACAAATTTAATTAAAAGTCCAAAAATGGTTAACTTAGTACAAAAAAAGTTTTAAAATAATGCAGCCCACATTTGCAAAACCCTAATTTCTATATATAAACTATATTACATTATACTATGATCTCTCTCTGATTGACTAGTGAATTACCAATTAATTAATTAATGATAATTACAATATACCAGAGAGTTTTATAATTAAAATTAGTAAATTTTATTTTATTTTTCCAATTTATAATTTAATATAATAAAAAAATTTATTTAGAAATAACCATAAATGAAATTAACCGGTATATAGTTTTGTTTAATTATTTCCTAATAAAAAATATTTTTTTATTAATTTTAGGATTAGGGCAAGAACTATATTAGGGTTAAAGTATTTATTATATGTAAAATTAAGTGTTAAAAATTTTTACTTAATGATATAAAGCAAGTTTTCATAATAAAAATTTAAGATATTAACGTTTTTTGTTTTTTTTCTAAAAATTCTTTATTTTTGTTATATGAAGATCCTGTGATTTGATTGGCTAATTATATAACTGGTGAATTTCACTTCTGGTGAATGTTAAGATTGTTCTAGTAAAAAATATTATTAAAAAAATCATATTTATTTTATTATTTTTTTTATTTTTTTTTACTTTAGCAATCTTATCTTTATTTTATAAATCGAAAATAGATTACAAAATATTCTTAGTTAGCTAAATCTGTATACAAATTATTAAACTATTATATTTCTGTCCAAATAAAGATTCTCTCAATCTGTCTCATTATCACAGTAAAAAATAAGATAACCTCTAATTTTATACTAAAGTATGACCCAGAAGCGATCTGTTTAAGTAACAATTTTTTTTTTCAGAATCCTCAACTTACTAAGAATATGAGTCCTGAATATCAGCAAATAGAAGTATCAATCTTGTTAGAATTACCGCTCTACAATAGAGTGCTACCAATCTAATAATACTTTTTTATAAAGAAGTAAAAAAGAAAAAAAAAAATATAAAGATAAAACAAAAATGAGAAAAATAAAAAATATATATATAAAAAAACAACCAAAATACAAAGAAATTAAAAAGACTTCTAAAATTTAAGAGAACATGTCTACAGATATAAAAACCTGCTAACCAGATGAAAAACTATCTATATGGTCATAGAAATCTATATATAGAGCTATTTAACAAAAAGAAACTAAGAACTAAAATGTACTTTAACCTGTGCTAAGGGCTAAAAATTAGATGTATATGAATTCAAAATACTGTATATCTTTAATATATCACTCTAACATGTAATTCTTGTTTAAATCTATCTTAAATTCTAGAACACTGATTCAAAGTCTCGATATATAATCATCAGTTCTATTTATAATAGACCGTTCTTTCTAAAATCCTCTTATAGTTTTTTCTATTAGGCCTTGCTTTTATGCTATACAAGATTAAACAGAAGGTCTTTTCTATAGTCTACCAGCATCATTAGAAGCTACTTTCTTGAGTCTGTTGCATAAGGCCTTTATTTCTGTATAGTCAAAACTGATCCAAATACAGAACTTTCACATATTTTGATTTAATCCAAACAAAACTTTCTTCTTATATGTGATTGTTGTATTTCTTATTCATCATATCATAACTCAAGAATTTCTGAAAATAGAAGTAGTAAACATTGCTAATTTTTTGAAAGAGGTAGCTAAATCCTCTACTTTTTGATAAAAATTATGAAAAAAGAAAGCAGCAGAAAAAAAGTATAGTTTTGTGAGTTTTCTAATCAAGAAGTATTATTCTAAGAATTCTTCATAGCTTTTAGTTTCCAAAATAACTTGAATCTTCTTTCTACTTACTGTTCCTTTAGTTTGGATACTAAATGCAAAGAGGAGTCCATCCAAAAGAAGAAAAAGCTTGACTCTTTTGCAAACTATCCAAAATACCTGCTTCTTAGTATATCACATTAAAGACTTCATTAGCAACAGTTTGTATTAAGAAAACTACAAGTTATTTGTTTACTTCTGGTTTTGAGTCTTCTACTTGCTTTCGGGTACTAGTTAGTACAAGTGATTATTTACTTATTTTCATTATTATGAAACTCTCTACCATTACTATATATATATATATGTATTATAATTTAATAGAACAGAACTAATACTACTTTTAAAAAAATTATATATATATATATATATATACTATACATATGGTATATAGATAATAAATCAATATTTATTCTTGAAACTAGTTTTTTTTATTCTGTAAAAAAAGAATTAAACAATATAAACTTTTGTAATTCAAAATTTTATTAATTTACCTGAAAGTCTGGAATAATGATGATCAGACTCAATATACAAAGCAGACTACAGACTATCTGAAAACTGTAAAAGCCAGGTATATAATAAACAACTTTATAGAAGACAACTACTTATCAGATGATGAGCTA